CAAACCGAGCCGAACCGAGCCGTGCCGTACCGTACTGAGCCGTACCGAGCCGAGTCGTACCAGGCAGTGGAAAAGCGCCATTTGTGCCTAATAACATTCAGGCTGCATATCAAACCATTCCTTTCACAGCTTAAGGCAATTGTATTTAAAGTCAAGTGCTTTATAGGGGCTATAAATCAGTCTAGCTACTGATGTGATATATTATTTCACATTCATCACCTCCTTGAGGAGTCAATCATTTTCAGATTTACAAATCATTACAAATGTTTACCTAGCGGCCTAGCGGTTAACACACATGCTTGGGTTTGGTGCTCATGTTGCAAATTTACTGTGGGTTTGAATCCAACCCATGTCATGTGGCAATCCCATTGCACCATCATTTCCTGTCATCTCTTCACTTTTGATAATAAATAAAATGAAACTTTTATCTAAAAATGTAAATATATTTAAATGTATAAAAATTATTTAAATTTATATAAAAATTAATGTGTACGTTATTCTAAATTCTTCTGTATTCATTCATAAGACAAGAAATTGAGAAATTAGAGAAAAATACATTTTAGGTATGTCTTCTAATAAGAAATATTAGATATTTTTTTTATTCAGTGTAATGACGATTTTTTTTATATTTTACAATTTTCTCTTATGGAGGCCCAATCTTGCAGAAATGTCAAATAAATAAAGTAAAAAATAAACACAGAAAATAATAAATAAAGGGCAAAAACGAATAAAAATAAATACAGGACTAAATTTAATTAAAAATTAATTGTATATATTTTTAGGTCTTTTTATTTATTTATCATTTCTGTATTAGTAAGAAAATATACTAGGAAATAATAAGGTAACTTTCAAAGAAAGCATTGCAAGTGGACATCTGGGAAAAATAAAAATATGAAAACATCTATGATATGGCAGCTTTAAAGTTAAAGCTTTTTTTTCTATCGTAACTTATAAAATTGAATGAGTGAGAAAGATCTTTAACGAACAGCTGAAATCATTCCTTATAGGTTTGTAACACGGTTCATCGATATGGATGGCCTGACATGCATCCTGAACTTCCTGAAGAGCATGGATTATGAGACCACTGAGTCTCAGATCCACACTTCCCTCATCGGCTGCATCAAAGCCCTGATGAACAACTCCCAGGGTCGTGCTCACGTGCTCTCTCACTCCGAGAGCATCAACATCATCGCTCAGAGTCTGGCCACCGAGAACATCAAGACTAAAGTGGCAGTGCTGGAGATCATGGGTGCTGTGTGTTTAGTGCCGGGAGGCCACAAGAAGATTTTGGAGGCCATGTTGCACTATCAAAAGTTCTCTTGTGAGCGCACACGATTTCAGGTGGGCTGGTTTGTTTATAGCATGATAAAACATCAAGAAAGTCTGTATGAGGATAAATGTCAATCCCACTACCATCTTTCTTTTGTCACAGACATTGCTGAATGATCTGGACAAAAGCATAGGACGGTACAGAGACGAGGTCAGCCTGAAAACGGCGATTATGTCCTTCATTAATGCTGTTTTAAGCCAAGGAGCTGGTGAAGTAAGACATTTCGGTTGCTTACACACTATTTTAACACATCTGATGAGTGACCAGATCTGTGCTTTAATATATAAATATCTACCAAAATAAGTCTCCTATTTGCCCTTGAAGGAATAGTATATCAGTAAGTGTTTCTTTAATAACTCGTAGGCCAGCCTTGAGTTCCGGGTTCATTTGCGATATGAGTTCCTCATGTTGGGGATTCAGCCCATCATCGACAAACTCAGGTCACATGAAAACTCTACTTTAGACAGGTAAGGGCCACAATTGCTAACTTGAGCTTTATTAATGGAGTCTTATCAGCAAATTTGAGCATCTTGATTTTGCTGTTTCTTTTTTTTTTGTCTCCTCAGGCATTTGGATTACTTTGAGATGCTGAGAAATGATGATGAGCTCACATTATCCAGGCGGTTTGAGGCTGTGAGTAGATTAAAAATAATATTTCTAATAATGGTTTTATATTTTATGTATAGATATATTGTTTACAATTATTATTATATTATAAAAATATGATAAAAAACTGTAATCATATATATATACTGTATATGTATATATATATATTAGTGCTGTCAAACAATTAATCGTGATTAATCGCATCCAAAATAAAAGTTTTTGTTTACATAATATATGTATGTGTATATTTATTATGTATATATAAATACACACACATACAGCATATATTTTGAAAATATTT